GTCGTTACATTTAATATAATATAGATTAAATAGTTTGGCTTGTTTGTTTGACTAAGTAATTAATGAGTAGGGATTTGGATGTAATTGAGAGGGAATAATTATGCTTTCCAATTCTCGAAGGAGAGTAAAGAATTCAGTGTAATTATATGATATAATTATGAGGCAACCTTACAATTTATTTATTTTTTAAATATACTTTTAATAAAATAAATAAACCTTTTCATTTCTTTGCCACTCGTACCTCTTTGAGTACTCCTTCCACATTCCTAACGTTAGCAGCAGCAACTTTCTTTTCGCACCAGGTATGTACTTGTTTTTTTATATATTTTTTATAGGAAAACTAATACAAATATTCTAAATAAGTCTCAACTTATCAACCTCTAGCCATTAGTGATAGACTTACTAAAACTAGCCAAGCACATATAAAAATAAAATTTTTACCTCCTATAGCAAAGGTTAACACCTTATTTATTTTAAATAAATATCCTTTTAAAATATTATAATATATAGCTACCTTTTAATTTTTATAGTAAAATATCTATTTATGGTTACCTCCTACCCTTAAGCCATTATATGCGCTATGTATTATTTTTTTCTCTCTCCTTTTTCAGATTTTTCTTTCACATAATTACCGTATTTGATGTAAACTTCTCTCTCCATATTCTCTCTCTCAATTTCATACACGCCATTCTCAGAAACCACAATTTTTCAATTCCAGTTTCTCTCACTCACATCGCCTAGCTCTTCCCCATTCTCGGTCACCACGATCCTTCAATTCTTCATCTGCATTATCTCTCTTACTTTTCTATATTTTTTGCTCCAAATAGTTGAGGTAAGTATTTAACTTGTTAAAATTTCTCTTGTATTTCGCATCTTCTGTTTATTTTTACTAATTTTTTATAAACAATAACCATTGTTATGCTTTCAACAGAAAACTTGAGATTTTCTCTCCAATGGCTGATTCAACATCCCAGAAGAGGGTTACCAGAGGTATAGCCACCAAAGTACTCAATTTCGATGGCCCCTCTTTCTCTTTGCAAATCACTCAAGTGGAATTGGAATTTGCAGGTTCAGCAGCAAATACAGTTGCAGAGAGGAGAACAAAAATTCTTAATGACACATTGAAAAGCCCAAGTTGAGAAATCTTCGAAAGAATCAACACTTCCTGTTGCGGAAAAGAGAAAAAAACCTATGGATGATGCTTCAGGTGTTAAGGGAAAGGAGGTCGATGAAAGAACTAGTTGGGATACACGAGACGAAAAGGTAATTGTTGATGTATCAATATGATTTGAGTCCTCATACATTGAGTATTACCTTCTCCAATGGGTTTCTCTTATTGTATGTTATTGTATTTATATGTGTGCAATAGTGGATACATAGATTTCTCTTCTTATTTGTTGATTTGATTTATATGTATGTTGATGTATTCATAAGTATTCCAAATTGCCTTCACTGTATTTGTACTTATTACACTGACTTTTGCATATTGTATTTAGATGTATTCAAAAGTATTCAAAAATTCCATCACTGTTTTGTACTTATTATAATGACTTTTGCATGTTGTATGTATATATATATATATATATATATACACAAAATTTCCATCACTAATTTGTGCTTATTTATTATAGTGTCGTTTGCATATTGTATTTAGATGTGTTTAGATGTATTCAAAAGTTCATTCACTGTATTTGTACTTATTACAGTGACCTTTGCATAATATATGTAGATGTATTCATAAGTATTTCAAAAGTGCCTTCACTGTTTTGTACTTATTACAATGACTTTTGCATGTTGTATGTAGATGTATTTATATGTATACAACTATTTCTATCACTTATTTGTTCTTACTCCAGTGTCTTTTGCATATTGTATTTAGTTGTATTTATATGTATTCAAAACATAAATGGGTTATATATTGCTGATGACATATGAAATCTTTTTGTAATTCTTGTTGTATGCAGGAAATTAAACTATTTGTGAAATACCCGCCTATTTCATTACCGCATATCAGTTCGTATACTAACACAGACATAGTCTCCGGCCTCAAAGAAAAACTTACTCTAGAGCACTACAAAATATTGGGTACTAGTTGTTTTGGAAATTTCATTGATATGAAGCGTTGTGAGGTCCAACATGAATTGCTCAGGTGCTTCATGGTTCTGCAGCTGGAAGAAAGTCATGACGATGTATTTTTAATATATGTCAATGGTACAACATTATCCTTTTCAATCAAGTAGTTTGCGGTTGTCACTGGTCTCAATTGTGTTGGTGATCCTGAAGATTTTCAGTTCAACACAAAGGTGCCTAACAGGATTGTTGATACATACTTTGGCGGTGCAAAGAATGTCAAGAAGAAAGATTTGTTGACATGCTTTGATGACAAGAATTGGGGTCATGACAACGATGGGGATGCCATCAAGATTGTTGTGTTGTATTTCATACACACTTTCATATTTTTCTTCGAGAAGAATAGCACAACCATCCCAAGACTATATTTTACTCCGTCAATGATATGGAGCCCTCCTTTGGGACTATGCTATGCGGAAGATAGACGTTGATCCCATAAGCGAGAACGAAGCACCCTCAAAGATTGTTAGGCAAATCACGGATTCGGATACTTCGGTGAAGATAGTTTTAGAGTAGTTTTAGGTGAATATAGTTTTGAAAGATAATTTTATGTGAATATAGTTTTTTGAATATTGTTTTGGTAAAGATGGTGTTCCGTTAAGAAAAACTCATATTTTCATTTTATTCACTGTATCCACAGTGTTTATATATGATAACTTCAAATATTCATGTTGTTTCAATGCTTTATGCAGCAGTATTCATATGTATTCAGCAGATGTATATATACAATATACATTCATCAGTTTACTAAAAATGGTCCTTTAGCAGATTTTTTGTGTGTGTGCGTGTGTATATATATATATATATATATATATATAAAGGTTGTATATGCATCATGTATTGATATATAT